ATGTTAAACTTGACATTATAATTTAAACCTTACCTTATAATTATAAATGTTTCAAACTTTACATTATAATTTTTGGCTAAAATTTTCCAATGTTCTTATTTATTCTTTTCTGCTAGAGATTGAGCCATGATCTTGAGCATGCTAAACACACACCCTACCACTCAGCTACACAGCAGCCCTGAAACCGAGTATGTCCTAATGCCAGAATTGTATTCGCCAGTGGCCATACTTGGCGCACACTGAAGAAGTCTGTATTACTACTGATAATAATAAAAAGCAGTCGCTAATGCTTCTGGGCCACTTCCTATGTCGTGCGTGTGTTTGTGCGTGTGTACACCCAGGGCCTGTGCACCGAACTACATCCCAGCCCTGCCTTATTTTTTGTTTTGAGCTGGATCTTGCTAAGTCATTAAGTTGTCCAGATTGGAAGGTGAGACCCTCCTGGTTTAGCCTCCAAGAGTTGCTGGTACTGCCTGGGGTGTCACAGCCTCCGTACGCATGCTAGGTGGGTGACCCTTGCAGCAGCTCCATAAATGGGCGTCTGCATCTCACAGGTGAGGGAACCAAAGGGAACAAACGCAACTTGACCCCGGTCAGCTGGGCTAGAAAAGCGTAGAAGCTTTAACAGTCATGATGCATGCACGCACGTGCTAAGCACATACGAGACGCCACAGCAGCCCGAGGTGGACATCTGTAGACACGTGCACACACACGCGTGTGCGCACACACTGTACTCACGGGACACGGGCTTCCTACGATGTACAGCTGGAAAGTGAATCATTCAGTTGAATTTTTGGTGCAATTACCAAATGAATCTTCAAAGAAAGATACATGAATTCTTTTTCCAACCACCAGTACCTGAGAACTTCTATTTTTCTACAACTTCTTCAGTGTAATTAAGAGTAATTTTTTTATTTTAATTAATCCGATAGGCAAAAAGTGGATTTTCATAGTAATTTCTATTTCTTTCATTATTAGTGAGGCTGAATAGACTTTTTGTTCTTGTTGCCAAAGTGTGTTATATGCTGTCGGATCTTTGTTTTTCCATTCTTATGTCTTTTTAGTCTGCCTATATAGATACATATATATGTGCTTTTAAAATTTTTATATAAGAAAATAATTATTTTGCTACAGTATAGTTATAATCTGAAAGGCATTTCCCAGTATGTACCAAAATGTATATCTTTAAAAAATCTTGCTGGGGATGTAGCTCAGTGGCACAGCGCCTGCCTGGGAAGCGCAAGGTCCTGAGTTCGATCCCTGGTACCAAAAAAAATAAAATCTTATCGAGAGTTTTTAGTAGTATTTTTATGATTTTAGTTCTTAGAATTACAAGATTCTTTTGCAATTAACTTGTGATTTTGGTGAGAAGTGAAGATCTGTACATTTTCTCCCCAAATGATTACATATCCCATCATTTTCTGAGGAATCTATCTTGATTTTACTGTTTCAAAAGGTACCTTTCTATATTCTGAGCTTTAAACAGCGCCCTGGGTCCATTTCTGGGTCATGTCCAGGGCAAACAGTGGTTGGGGAGGCTCTGGGCGGACCCGTCCCTGCTGGCACTGGACATCCCCGCCCGGGAGACAGCAGACCCCACTGCCCCCCCGTGCGAACTGTGTCTGTTGTGGGGACGGGGTGCTGGCAAATGTCCCTGAGGAGAACCACGTGGCCATACAGCCGGCAGTGCCACAGTCGCGAGATCATGGCCACGCGCGTCTGCGAGCTCCAGACTGACCCGAAACCAGGAGTGTGGGACAGGTTCGGGTGCTGGGGAAGACACCTCCCTGCTGGGTTCTTTTCCCAAACTGTCTAGCACTTCATTTCCAAGTCCATTTTCAACCAAGGTATTACTAAACTTCTTACATTAAACTTCTATACCACTAGTAGTTGGAATCCAGATCTGCCTAGTCTTCTGGTCAGGAAAACAGCGTGTCTTTCTTTTCCTAAATACTTTTTAAAATAAAGCCTCCCAGTTTTCTTTAAAGAAGAGACCACAGAGGTTGTTAACCTGTGGTCCATGAATTCTTAAATGAGCTTCAAGACTTTCACCCAGCAGGCAAAATGATACTCAAGTGGTGTGTGTGTGGGTGCACACGCGTGTGTCAGATGAGCCCGGAGGCTCCTGTGTATCAGTGCACATTCTTCCAGGGCCTGGGCTGGGTGTCCAGCTTCACCACATGCCTGCTAAGGCCTCAGGAAGTTATGGGTCATTGACGAGAGTTTTCCATTTCCTGCTTTTTTGTCTTCCCTCTTGCAGCACTGGGGATGGAAACCAGGGCCCCAGGCATGCTAGGCAAGTACCCTCAGCCCGAGTTCTACATTCCTAAGGCAGTATTTCTGGATATTTTCTAGTTTTCGCTGTTACTGCTTTTGGGTAGTTTATAACATTTTAAAGTAGACAGTAGACAGTAATTTTCCACACACATAATTCATAAATAGCCTTTCTTGTTGTTGCCAGAGATGTTCAGGTTCTGAACTTTTGAGACTGGCAACTGTCCCATAGCTGGGTGAGCATTTGCTGTCTTCCTTTCTGTCTGTATTTGTGAGGGGAGAGAGGAGAGCTCAATGCACTGAGATTCCTGGGGACAGTGGCACTAGAGAAGTTCCTTGTCACCCTCCAAACCTGAGTCCAGACTGCTCTTGGGGGGAGGTCCAGACAGGTATCCTACCCCACTCCATGGGAACACATGGGACTTATCTAGAAAGACTACTTTAAATTAAATACGTATTTATATTTTATCCATGTAAGTAAAATTCCACATAAACACAGCAATGTGCAGTGACTGCTAATAAGGAGGGCTGGGAGAGTATGACAAAAATGTGCTAACTGTTCTAAAAGTAATAGTGCGATGCTGAGCAGCCCTGTGAATACACTAAGAGCAGCTGGAGTGCGCACTTTCAGTGGGTGACTGTATCTCAGTAGATTTGCTTTTTAAAAAGTAAGCCCCTCTGAACTCACTGCGACTTGAGTAACAGATCTGGCTGTAAACCCTGCTCAGGAGGCCTGAGCCAGCATCCTATCCCTAACATAAATGAAAGAAAATAAGAAAGCTGGAGTAAAACAGGAAGAAGCCAGGTAGCGGGAATCTAGTTTTTGCATCTGCGCGAGCCGAGCCCAGTTCATTTTAACACTGTGCCTCGGAACTGGGCTCAGCTGGGCTGCACTCCGGCTGCTTCTCCCCAGGGATGGAAAGGCTTCTGTGGGGGGTGGGGGTGGCGCTGGGAGGGACAGCTCTGGGTCTGGTTTCGGGGCCTTGTGCAAAGCTGCACGCACATGACATACACCCAAGAGTCACACACAAGAGTCATACGCCCCCGCCCCGTGTCCCGCACCAGCCTCCTGTAACTCCGGGGCTCACTAGGAAGCTGAGTGACTGCGTGCTCCTTAATTTCCCCCAGCCTCAGTTTCCCCACTTGTGCACTCAGAGCCTCACAGCGATGGGGGGGGCCTGCATGGTGAGCACACGGGGCAGGGCCGGCAGGGCTCACAGCTCTCCCCTTCCACGCGGTGCCCAGTGCCTTCAGGCTGGTCGGCTCAGGCTCAGGCAGGTCCCTGAAGACACCCGCGCCGGCCCACTGACAGGGAGCCTCACAGCCTAGCGGGAGGCCGGATGCACAGGGCCCTCGTGACCGAAACCAGGCTTCCTAACAACCAGACAAACCTCCCAGCTCTCCGGAAACCGAATCGCCAACAACTGCCCACCATCCTGCGCAGCTGGCCTTGCGTCACAGAACTCGGGGACTCGGGATCCCGGGTCTCACAGCACCATGTCCACCTCGTGCCCCTCTCCAGAGAGGCGGGGACCACAGCCCGACAGCCCCTCGGCCGCTCCCCAGGCCTGTACCCTCCTGTCAGGCTGAGGCCCTCGAGACAAAGGAGCTGCATCTGATTTATTTTGTGACAGACGCACTAATACAGTTTCTAAAATGCAGGTAATACTCAACCAAATGTTCAAAAAAAAAGCATGAAATAGGGCTCTGTGAAACTGCACAGGACAAATCAAGTTTTTAAAGCCAAGTTGAGTACTATAGTTAGAGAGATATATAATTTATATAATTTATATACATATATTTTATTTCTATATTAAAAAAATATAGACTTACCTTAATAATAATTAACAACAATGAGGGCGTTGACACCTGTGGAGATTCACTGTGTGGCAAGCTGAAGCTCACTGCTTTTCTTGCTTTTCATTTTTTCTGAGACAGTCTCGCTGTGTAGTTCAGGCTGGCCTAGAACTCACTGTGTAGCCCAGGCCGGCCTCAATCTTGCGGCGATGCTCCCGCCTCAGCCTCCTGAGTGCTGGGGTCACAGGCACGCACTACCCCGCCCGGTGAGGCTCCCTGTTCACCTCAGCCCTCCCCACGCCCGGGGAGCAGGCACGGCAATGAGGACACACGAGGCGTGACTCAAGCTCTAGAAGTCAACTCTTGGAGCCTCAGAACCCTTTTCTGACTGTGGAAGGCAACGTGTTTCTGAGGAGACACACGCACATCCCCCACTGCGAAATCCATCCATGAAACTGTGACTCAGAGGTTTCCCACACATGCCCGAACGGCACACACACTATCAGGACATGTTCATCACCCCAAAGAAACCCCACACACAGCAGCCATGGGACCCAACCGGGCTCGCTGTGTGTGCACAGGGGCACTGCGGGTGCGCGTGGACTGCGAAAGAGGACGAGTGTGACTGGGGTGCTGAGGGCCAGCGTCGTCTTCGTGAGGGAAGGGGCCCTGCTGACGCCTGTGCCCGCCTGTGTCACACTCACGTCCAGGTGGAGGCCGCTCGGTGAGGACCAGGGTCACCTCGGGCAGGCAACAGGGAGAGTGCACAGTGCAGTCCGCGAGGACTCCCTCTGTAACAGGAGCAAAGCCCAGTGCACAGCCCAGGGTCTCGCGGATTTCTGCCTCAGCTCAGGTCCTGCGCACCGGGAACCACCCGCAGCCCACGTCTGACCACCACAGCACCCTTGAAGCCCAACTCCACCACTCACCGTCGTCCTGGGCGGACGCCTCTTGGCTGCCCTGGCCGCGGTCCTCAGCCAGGGCCCGGTACGGGGGAGGCAGCTTCATCGGGGGCGGGGCCGGTCCCTGCCTCTGAGGGTGCAAAATCGGAGAAGGGTGCATGTGGCTGTCCCATCCTCCTCACAGGCGTGAGGAGACATCTGGAGATATTTGTACTGCGGCCAACTCGGTTCATAACTTGAAGATCATCGAACAATGTAACTTATGCTCCAAGGGCTCTGATATAAACAAGCCAAACCAGACAGCAAGAATTCAAGCATGGCTTTGAAGGCTGCTGACCTTCCTAGAGCGCATTCCTTTCCCAGGGAGAAAGAAATCGCAGGTCACTTGCATTTTCTTCAAACACAACTTCCCTTGTTATTAACAAAATAATTTATATGAAAGACATTTCGTTAGAAAAAAACTAAAAATAGAAACTGTCTAATGTTCTGCAATTTAAATTCTTTCTTCAATTAAAATTACAGATTTCATCTTTGAAAAAATACTTGAAATAAAATATCAAATTTTCTAACTGGAAAGGCATCACCTGTACATGGTAAGTGCACATTTTAATGTTTTAAAGAGAGAAACTATGTGTGTAATTATTTCTACAAAAATAAGTTTTAGGGCCGGGGATTTAGCTCAATGGTTACACCGCATGCCTTGCAAGCACACAGTCCCAAGTTCAATCCCCGGTACCAAAAAAAAAAGTTTTAAATTTACATGCCAAATGACAAAGCACAACAATACTTGATTTATAGAATTAAAGTAGAATAAAGCTCTATGATCAGATTACCTTCATAGACGGAGACATTTTCTTACACTTGGAGAAAAAAAAACCATGCTGAACTTTACAGAGAGCTGCACACTGCTAGAAAGAATAGAAGCGATCTAGCGAAGCCCTCCACTGTGCCAGATCACTGATTAAGGACTGTTTTGCTGCAGGCTTGGAGCGCATTCAATTACACTTTAGAGGACAGCCCACTAATGGGAGCGGGCAGTGGCCGGTCCATTACAGGGAGCAGGCGAGGGAGAAATTCTCCCAAACGGAAGAGACAGTGTTTGGGATTCATCAAGGAAACACACGTACTTCGTCAGGATCTGACTAACCAGAGCAGTAATTCTATGTGCTTGTAGAAAACCCAAAACTCGTAAGACACAAGAGTGATGAGGAAAGATGCCAAGGTTCCCACTTACCTTTGCCTCCTTCTCTTTGGTGTCCTGGTCCAGGCTGCTGGCCACTTTGCTGCCCTTGTTATGCGGGTTTGGAATGACCTACACTCAAAGAAGGGGGAAGAGGACCGAGCGTAAGTTCAGAGGTCACGGTCACTGCACTTCTCATTGGCACACGTGTGTATGCAAACGTGTGTGTGCACCCGTGCTGGACACTCAGGGCCTCATGCAAGGCACGTGCTCGACCACCAACCATGCCTGCACCCTTCTTCCTGTACTTACTTATTCAATGTGGTAATTTCATCTAAAACCTAAAGATACGAGACTCACAATCAGGGCAAGTATTAATATTTCAGAAATCTGACAAGATGTAGACCCATACAATATTATAAAATTAAACATCTGCTGCGCAGGTCCAGAAAATGAAGATGGAGAAGAGTCAACAGGTTACAACACCGTCATCCAGAGCCGTCATCTTCAGTTCCAGTGGCGACCTTAGATAGCCCCCAGAATGGGGACAGATTCACCTCATTCTTCATGGGGTTCGTGCTGCACACTGTGGGCACCTGGTAAAATCTCACCACCACTGGCGGCATAGGGGGAATCACAAACTTTCTTCCACATCGAGTAAGTTCAGTGTGGGCAATTACTGAACTGAGTATTTTCCATCCTTTTGTGGTGCTCAGAAGGGGCCTGAGACACAGCTGTGCTCAGTGAGTGTTTGCAGGACTGGGGTGCAGCTCAGTGGCAGAGGGCTGGCCTAGCATCCACGAGGCCCTGAGTTCAGTCCCCAGTACTGAAAAAGAAATCTTTCATCAGTAAATGTTTATAAGTTCCTGAAGTGAAATTTTATAAAAATAATTTTAATCCTTAATGACGCCAACAGTTTAGATTATTTGGGCTCATTTCTTTCTGTGAGACTATGAAACATCTACGGGAATACACTATTTTTAGTCACTTTCGAAGGTGCTTCAACCTGGTGACAGATGTGATGACTGAAAGAAAAAATCAAATCTTCTTTCCCAGAAAATTTGCCCAGAGAATATTAAACCAAACAAAACAGGGTTCTACTTCCCTCTACACGCAAGTTGAGATTAAACTGTCTTCACTTTCACTACGTTGAGGAATTAGCTCAGCATGAGCCAGTAAGTCTCAGGAACGCTTCACTCCAGCCAGTGCTTCAGTCGGAGTGCAGTGCCTACGCTGGGTGTTCATGCTTCTACCCCATGCACGACCCTCAGGCCAGCATCTGGAACCTGCTGGGCCGCCCAGTGAGCTTCTCTGTCTGAAGAATCTTAGAACAAAGCCACACTGGACCTACTTTCTCCTGTGGAGGAAGCAGCTGGGCGGGGCTGAGACAGAAAGTCCACTGCATCCACATGTCAAAGTGCCTACAACGTTTTGAGAACAGCAGAGAAATGCGTCTGGGTACATATCGTTAGCAAAATTCAGAACACAAATGCTCACCAAAAAGCCTTCATCTTTTAGAGAAAAATAGAAGACAGTGTATTTCTTGTGAAAGTAATACACATATGTATATGAAAAATATGTGGATATTAATATGTAAAACTGCATGTGCCCAAAAAAGTAGGTGCCATTATAAAACAATGGTATTAAGTAAGTGCGACTGGAATACAGGAAGAAAGAAAACAGCACATGACAATAAAACGAAAGAGCTGAGATGGTCCCAGTTTTAAAAGGGTTTGTGCTGGAATATGAAAAAGAAATATTTGATGCTACTGTGAAATGCAGTTATGTTACTAAGTGGAAAAAGTTACACTGGCATAGAAACTTTGTAAACCAGGGTTCTGCTCCCAAGGAAGCATGTATTTGCCAAATAAATCTAAGTGGGTACACACGTTTCTCTAGCTTGCTGAAAATATGGCTGCGAGTTTGGAAGAAGCTTGCAAAGGCAAGGCGCTGGTAGTAAAGCAGCCGACAGTGCACGGTGTGGAGAATTTTTACATGACCAAGGCATTTTAGGCAGTGGGCCTTCAATGGGCACAGCATGAGGCAATCACTTCACTCCAGGTCTTAGGAAAGCTCAAACTTTAATGGAAACTGGTTAAACTGAGCAAGGCTGCTGGTGGAGTGGCACAGGCCTGTAGTCCAGGGACTCGAGATGAGCCAGGGAGCCCAGGTGTCCGAGGGCAGCCTGGGGAACCCAGAGACACTTCATCTCCAAAAGAAAAGAAAAATTGATAAGGCATTGCCAATATTTCCTGCTCCTGCATGATCTCTATGCCTTGCACAAATAATTATGCCAAGGAGATCACCATTTTGCAGATAGGAAACGATTTGGGTCATTGCCTTCTTCAATAGGAGTCACTTGGTGCCTAAACAAGTTTAAGGATGGAACAAGTCATACACAGTCACTAACAGCATCAGCTGAATAATCGCCCGGCTGGACCCAGGGACAGCCCATGGCAGGACAAATGGGGTGTGCCGTGCGGCAGCCAGGGACACCGCCCAGCGGACTAGGCCCGAGCACAACAGTGCTGAAGACCTTTTCTTCTCTTAAGCAGTCAGAGAAATCATGCTGTTCATGACATCCAGGTGGACTCCAGGCCCGCTCACCGCAGAGGTGGACTGAAAGCTTGGCTTTTCATGGACTTTGTCATCTATTTTAATCTTTGAGTACTTTTCGGCAGGGCAGTCACAGCTGGTCACAGAGATGTATAATTAGATCAATTCATCTGCAGTCAAAACTGTTTCTTCAGAACCTGGGCAATTTTTCTACTGGATTCAGTTTCCAGAAGTAAAAGAGATGGGCTATATTTTTACATTTTTAATATTATGAGAGGTTGAAAACTGGACTCCAAAGTCTCACCGACTTTCACACGTGAGGAACACCGAGAGGCCTTTATTCGGTCGCCCTCACAGCTGGGCGTAGCTGACAGTGTGCATGTGTGTGGCTCTGAGGTGGAGCCGCAATCCATGGCTTCTGAGTGTCCCAGTGTCCTGGGGAGGCCACTGAGTGGCCTGTTCACCCGGCAAACAATAACGTCTGCAAGCCTTAACACACAAATGGCTGAAATCACTGCATCACTGTATTGAAAAGCAAATCATTTTGCTGAATGTGACATTTTCCCACTGTTCTTAGGCCCTATGTTTTGAGCAGCTGTTTTCCATTATAAGGTAACAAACACTGCCTCCAGGAGGGGACCTACAGGCCCCATTTCTGCAGCCACTGATTTTTTCACATCAGAATCCGAATCCAATACCAAATGAGTAATGAATCATAGGACACGATTTTTAGGACCAAATACTCCCACTTTTAAATTCAAATGTCCAATAGGACATGCAGCAACACTGTCAACATGTCTGTATTTCTGTTTTAAGAACACTGGATGGTACTTCTAGAATGTTTTATGTTCAAAGTGTTTCATAAACAAAGTAATTGGCTCAAAATAAATAACTCACCCCCAACTTAGCAAAGCAGTAACTAGAGAGCAAGCTATTGAGAACCAGGCTGTTTGATTTCACCACATGTGACTTAAGTCAATGCAGACCAATGACTCAAATGTGACCAGGAGATCAAAATTGGGGTGAAAAATGGAAATTTAAGTTAATGACTAAATTTACCTGAAGCTAAGCAAGTATTTTTCCTAAGTGTTCTGGTGTAAATATGAAGTGTCCCGAATGACTCGTGTACTGAGGGGTTGACCCACTGATTATGGAGCTGAATGGGCTGTTAGGAGGTGGTCACAGCAGAAAGGAGGTGGTCACCGGGGTGTGCCTCTGGAGGGCCTACCCTGTCCTCAGCCCCTCCTCTCTCTCGGGCTCTTTTCCTGCTTGCTCCACTTCCCTGAGGTGAGCAGCTTTGCTCTACCAGTCCCTTCCGCCACGATTTCCTGCCTTGGAACCAGCTGCCCATGGACTGAACCCTTTGAAGCTGTGAGCTAAAGTGTATGTCACGTAACTAAAAATGAAAATATGTGGGAAACTACTTGGAGGTAAAAGTTTGACCCACAGGAATAGATGATAGTGTTCAACTTTTTGAAAATGGAAAGTAGTACTTACTCTTGGCGTGGATGAGAGACTCTGAACAACAAACACCACAGGATTCCCTGCATTCTTGATGGCCTCAACGGCCTCTTGGTGTGTGGCGTTCTGCAGATCCACACCAGACACCTGAAACACAGGAGAAAGTCATGTGGGGAGGCCGTGGAGGCCACGGGCAGCTGACTCAGAGGTCGCAACGACCGTCTGCTCATGAGAAGGGTCAGGGGCTAGTGAGGGGCCCACAGCTGGAAAACAGCAAGGCTTCCGTCCAACACCGCGGCCTCAGGAGAATTGGTGTGTGCAGGGAAAATGACGCTGCACCATTGGAAACAGTCAAGGGACAAAGATGTCATCAGCAATAGCTCGGGTTAAGTCCACAACCAACATTACAGTTCATAATGCAAACTCCATTATTGATAACTGTGAAATGACAGGTTGTTGTGTGTGACAGAACCCCATGTTGTCACTTCTGCCACTAGCACCACACGTGATTCTGAGTGGGTTGGGACAAAGGATTCCTTGGAACTTCCATTGTCTACTAAATTGAGGGGAATATTTTAAACAAATTGACTATTACTGTAATTGAGAGGTTGACCATTTCTTATAATGTGCTAAAAAACAAGAACCAATAAAACAGGCTCTTTCATTATAAGTGTTCTATGCTTGCTACATTTGTGTACCAGTAAAACGCTCCCTATTACAGATACATGGAGAACGTGACCTGCTAATGTGTCCATAAATCTCTGAGGCCACTGTGTTTAACAGAACCACTTCTTCAGATCTATGTGCAGCAAAGCCTAGGTGAATGTCAGGGACAGTAATAGCCTGTGGCCCTGCCTTGCTTTAAGGGACAGGGGGTTTTCCTGACAGATTTCCAAAAGGATAAGTGGGAACCACTGAAGTTAGCAAAAAATGGATTCTGTCACAGTACAATAATAATCTTAGGTTTTACAGCTCATCTCTTCACTGAAAGATCCATTTGTGAGAAATTAAATTCTAACTTCCTAGATTAAAAAATTCTTGTTATGGATCTAAAACATTCGTGTTACTGCTTTAAGACAGGTCTTATAAAATACAGACAAAACTGATTACCAGATTTTACATAAAAATAAAACAAAATCTTTACAATACTTTTCACAGGAAAAAAGGAAACAAACAATTAAGTGTAAGCTTTCAAGTCAGCTGCGAGTTTGAAACAGCCCAAATACTTAATCTGAGGGAAAACCCTGGGCTCTTGTCACTGCACACAAAACCAGGGGTAAGCTGAGGGTACTGTTTATTAAACTGACAACAGAAACGACTGACGGACAGCAAAGTTTTAAAAGATAACACAGCAAACAGCCCGGTCAGAACACAGAGGGCAGATGAGGTCCCCTTCGAGGCTCCACTTCGGCGACAGGGGGCCCTGCGGCTCGGGAGCGCTGGTCCAGTTTCGCTGTCACCCAAGGGCCCCGCGGACTCCAGAGTCTCGGCCGGCTGCCATTTGTCTTTTCCCAGCCGGCAGCCTCGCACCGTTAGACTAATCCGTGGCCTACCTACCGCACACAGGCTTTTAATGCAGGCCTTTCAAGGAATGAACGACGCTGCCTGAAAGCAGATTTTGTCTCCTTCCTCCGGGTGGAACTTTTCCCTTAAGGGCCCCTTTAAGGTCCGTGGAACCCTTGCAGAGAGGCTTCAAGTGGCGTAAGTTGTTTTCCACTTTTAAAAGAAGCAATTATGGCATTCGCACCACCCCATCACCTGGTGTCTTGCTCCGCTGTGTGTCTCCTCCTAGCCACTTACGCAGTGTTTGGTTTTATTGTTTCTCCCTTCCACGGGATCATGTAACACCAGGGGGAAGGGGCTCGGTCATTCTCCTCACTGCCATATTGCCAGTGTGATTAAAGCATCCCTGAACCAAAAAGCCACGATCTGCAGCCTCACGAGCCCCGGCCGCTGCCAGCGAGGAGAGTTCCTGACCCGGTGCCCGGCCCGAAACATTTCCGGTCCAGGAATTTCAGGAAGAAATCTTGACCTCTGTGACCCAGGTTTGTACCCAGAGCGGCTTTGTGTGGTTCTCGGGGTCCTCGCAATGCCGCTGCGGGCTTGGAATTCTCATTGCCACTTTACTTGGAAATTAAGAAGGCGGGCCTAGTGTTTGTCCCAGCGATAGAGGAATGCTATACAGTAGGGCAGGCCCTTGCCTTGCCTCCATGTTTTATTTCCACAGACTGTTTTCCAGAAATGTAAGTTTGTGCTGCCGGGCAGCGCCCCTGCCCAGTGCATCAAAACGTTTTGTAGCTGTCTGAACTTCGGGACCTCGGGAGGGTTGTCAGCCCCGCCCTTCCCGGGAGTGTTGTTAGCACCGCGCCCTGCTTCAGTGCGCATGCTCGCCTACCCCTAGAGCCCCCCCCCCCCCCCCCCCTCTAGGAATGTTCTGTTAGCTCCTCCCCCCTGCTTCAGTGAGCATGCGCACCTACCCAGTAAACCCCATATAAGGAGGCTCCTGTTTCTGGTCATTCTCTGACTTCCCAGTACAAACTCATCTGAGCCCGGGGGCGTGCGTCATAATGATTTTCCTCCCTCCACTCCTTCGAGTGACCATCAGATTCTCGAGTCTTCACACTGTGACGCTGAGCTGTAACACCTGCTATAGCACCGAGCTGTTCTGCTTTGCCACAATGCCAGAACAAAGCCAAACTAGGAAGTCCGAGCGCAGACTCGGATCTGACCTCCAGAGGCCCCTTCCTCGGCTCGGGCCGGAGCCCGGGCACTGACCACCCCGAGAGTGTGGAGGCTAGCAGGAGGCGGGTCCCGCGGCCGGGTGTTCCCAGCGCTGGTGTGCTTGCCAGCGAGCTCCCACAAACCCTCCCCGCCTTCCCGCGGTCCACCCAGTCAGGCCCTTCCTCCTCCAGGGGAGCAGCCTCCTGGGACACGGATCGCGCTGGTGACGGCTCCTGAGGGCGGAAGCAGCACCGTGCCGCCGTCTGCCCAGTCGACACTGAGCCCTTTGTACTCGCCTTTCACGACCAGGAGGTCGTATTTTATCATTTTATTTGCTTCCTCCCCACACTGGAGAGACACAAATTGTGTATGGAGTGTGCAAACTAAGGCATAGAAAAAGGACATATCAAGTGCACACACACACCAACACATGAAGAAAGGTCTGGCCAAATGATTATTTTACTGTCTCAAACATATTTCAGACATGCCAGGTGAGGTGGCACACGCCTGTAACCCCAGAACTCAGGAGGCTGAGGCAGGAGGATTGCCATGAGTTTGAGGCCAGCTGGGCTAGTTCAAGGCAGCCTGAATGACATAGTAAGACCTTGTCTCAAAAAGTACAAAAAAAGCCCTGGGGATTTAGCTCAGTGGTTCCGCCGCCTGCCTTGCAAGCTCAAGGTCCCAAGTTCGATCTCCGGTACCAAAAAAAAAAGTACAAAAAAGTTTCTGACACAAACAGCACTTTAACATCGTTTACCTCTAGGATTTTATCTCCAGTTTTGAGCGCGTTGGTCCTTCCTGCCGGGCTGTCTTCAAGGACCTGCTTGATAAATATACCCTTAAGCTCCTCCCCGTTCCTCAAGCGCTTGATCACCATCTGTCCACCAACAATGCTGATGCCCAGGGACACGCTGGACTCTCTGAAAATCTCCACACTGGAAAAAACAGAAACGAAACTCGCTTGAGAACAACTTGATTTAATTAGTCACACTGCCACTGGAAGTATTCCATTTGTGCTATAACTTTGTGACTCGTTTTATAAAAGTAAATTTTCTGAATATATTTATAAATGTTCCATAAATTATAACTGGTTCCAAAATTAGAAGGTGCTATCAGTAACTGATGACATATGAAAGTTTAAATTCTGGAATAGATGATAAATACACCTCGGGATTCAGAGACGGGCCATTGGGTCTGAAGTTCCTGTCCGTGGCTCAGCTGCTTTCTGTGAGTAGTATGTCTCATTTATATCCACAACGTTAGCAAAGACAGGGTTGAGGGAATAACAAACGGGTGAAAAAAATCAAGAAAGCCACATGTATCATTTTAGTGAAAAAATCTCAGGCTTTCAGAATAAAATAAATTTGCCACCATCGCGAGCGCCCAGCCCGAGCATGTCGGGCTCAGCCCTGAGGCTCCGGCGCTGGTTCCCTCGGTGCCCGTGGCCTTTTCTCCCTGTCATTTTATAAGAGAAAGTATGTGTGAGATTTGCCCAAAATATTATGGGATTTGCTTAAACCAAAGAGACCCAGCCAGTAATGAGCTCAAATGAAGAAGTGACCCAGAAAACAGCCTCAGAGCTTTTAAGACAGAACAGGCGGGCTGGGCAGGCCTGGGATTGCTGATGCAGCGGGAGCACTTGCGGCTAGAGGAAGGCTGCAGCCTCCCCACCCCCGCACTGGTGAGGACTCTGCCCTCCGGGAGCCTAGTGCACAGTGGAGGCTGCAAAGGCTGCGGTGTCCTGGGGGCCGAGGGCCCGGGCGGCAGAGGCCTGGCCAGTGTCGCTGGGGCCGCACTGGGTTCGCAGAGCTGGGCCAGTCGCGCGCCCTTAGCCCAGCTGCTGCCAAGGAGCAGAGACCGAGCTGACACTGGTCATTACCGTCCTTCCCTTTGACCCAGATCACTGGGCAAGACGGAATGAGACTGATACTGAGGCTGCCAGCACGCAGGTGAATTACTTCGATTTTGCAACCGCTGGAGTATGGAGGACCGTAACGTCCGGGGAAGTGAGAGCACGATGCCGTGAAACGATCACGCACACAAGCTCAGCAGCGCGTGGCTCCTCCGAGATACTGGGAGACAGGGGATGGGCCATCCGCAGATGGGGAGGGGCCAAGAGATGAGGAGATAAAGAACGAGGGTGTCACGTGCCCTCTCCCTGTGAGGAATGGACTCCTTAGGTGCTGCAAGCGTGTGCTGACAAAAATAAAAATCCAAGGGGCGGTAAAAAGCAGTGCGAAAGCATAGTGCCCTGTCAGATGAAAGAGATGACAGGGTCTGCTCCCTCGAGGGCCAGCGACGCCACCCACGTACACTCTCGGGGGACCCCAGTGGCTGAAGTTCGGCGTTTCTTCTCCTTCACCTTCTTCTCTCTCGGGCAGCTCACTGAGGGGAGAAAGGAAGGATGTGCACAGTTCAGGAGACGCTCTTGTTCTTCAACGGGCTGGGAAAGTTCTGAAACTGCCCAACTACAGGTACTGAACAGCTGAGCTGCTAAAATATTTGCATCAATAAATACGCAAAGCAAATACAGCTCGCTTTAACATTCAACACGCCAACCCCCCACCCAGCAGAGACAATCACACAATGACCATAAACACTTACTGGTGTTTAATCTACAAGTTATTTTTCTAAATCAGTGTTTGATTTGTACAATTTCACCTTAGCTTCTCTATCAGTATGTAAAGTGTGTCTCTTAAGACTTGGTATTGGCTGATCAGCTAGGAGAACAGCCCTGCCTGCAGAAGAGGGGAGCTTGGCTACCTGCTCTCAGAGGCTGCACATCCTCTGCCCGTGCCACCTCCGAGGGCCAGGCTGCCACCCTTCCCGCCATCTGCAGCATGTGTGAGCAGACACAATTCTCCTGGCTCTGCACGTATCCTACATATGCACATCACCGTGCACAGTGTCAGATGCCATGCATTGACAGCCGTGTGACAGCCTCCCACCCTCTCGGCAGACTCTCTACAGTACCCACTTTGTCCACAACAGTGCAGGGGCACCCAATATCCAACACCTTGTGAGAGTCTCGTAGTAATTACACAATACAGTGAGCTTGGTGATAACATTTTTCTGTATTTTCCCAATGCTCTACCAAAACCAAACATTTCGTAGAAGCAGAGAAACAAAGCGTGAATCCTATTCCAGGGCATGAAGGCAGGAGCAACAGCGGCCTACCATGCGTCAGCGGCGTGTCTAGAGGACGATGCTCCTGGGTGCTTCGCGGCCCCGCGGGGCCTGGGCGGTTGGTACAGAGGCAGATCTGGCTGCCTCCTCCGAGCCCCAGCAGGAAGGTCCACGCGCACGCCCCTGCCTGCGACGTCATCGGGCACCATCACGCCTGCAGTTTACAGACCCAGGCATAAGACACACAAGACGCTTCGGTCACTCCACAAACAGCAACAGCGCCCCTAGGGCTGGGCCCCTCAGGGGAGGACACAAAGTAAGCAAGGAAAGGTCCCCAGGAGAGGGTGCTGGAGGATGTCACAGGGAGGGCGACAGGGCTGCTCAGGAGAAGGTACACCCAGCAGTGCACAGGGAGGGTGCTGAGGGGTGGCCGCCCTGCTGCACAGCGTCACCTCCTGATCGCCTTCCAATGCCCCCGACGGGCACCTGCTCCAGGAGCCCAGGCCTTCGCCCCAGGGCTCCAAGGGCACAGCCCGGGGCAGACCCAGGGCAGCTGGTGCTCTAGCAGGCAGCTGCCACATCCGGACACTGACTGGGGTCGGGCCTGGCGGGGGTGTCACTAGCGTCTGGGTGGCGGTTAGGGACGCTGCTATATGCCCGGCCAGGCCTGGCGAAGGCCTCACCCACACAAGAATGCTCCATATAATCAGCAGATGTGGCCCACTTGTTCATTTGTGTTGTAAATCACGTCCATGGACTTAGTAGTCAGAACTAAAGAAATATGGTGAATTTGAAAGAGCACCATATCTGGAGACTTTAAGGGCAAAAGTCCCATTTTCCTCTCAGGGGTGAACTTGTACAGTGGGGCAGATTCATCCAGTCCCACATAGCAGCAGGGGTTGCCCATGGGAGCTCAGGAGGGTTGTGATCCAGACTCGGTCTCCCTCTGGCTTCCTGGCGCACACAGAACCGTGCCATTGTTCTCCACACTCGGTCCCCGACAATGGCCTGCACCCCAGCAGCGAGGCCACTCAGACCTCCCTTCGGGTGGCCGGGTTGGGCAGGCAGCACAGACCTGACCAGGGCCCGGGAAGGGCCTCCCCTTTCTCACCTGTGGCATTCACCTGTGCCGCATGCGGTGCTTCCAGACTGAATGGACAAAAACCCTTCCGAAAAGTCAAGTTTTCAAGAGTATTTTGAAAGCTGGTATTGGAGAGCCAAGGAGACGCACAGTACTTTTAGAATTCTTTGATGGGAACTAAGTCACTAATGTGCTAAAATAGACTGTAATAGATGGCTGCACAATGTCTCATGAATGTTTAAGATACGTCTCCCTTTATGAATATTTAACAGCCCCACGAAGAGAGCTAACAACACCACTTAGCAGAAGCAGCGACTTTAAGGGGTATTAGTGGAGATACAGTTCAGCGTCAGGTACCGGCTTCAGTTTTAATCCACGCTGCTAATAAACATCGAGTGGAGGCAGTGGAAATGGAAAAGCCCTGCAGAAAGCAGGACCCGAAAAGCTAAGCTGAGACATGAGCAGAGCTGTCTTTCAGGTGTCGCGCAGCAGAAGCAGATACAAAGCCTCAGAAAAACCCAGTAGATACAGAGCAAAACAGGAAGACTGCAAAGGGCCACTTGGTGTTCATTAGAAACAAAGCCACGCACCCAGATCCTGACTGCTTTCTGCTAAGGAACCCAGATGTTCCAGGCCATCGAATCTGCCATGCGGGCTGTCTGCCTGGATGCAGGGTGCGGCAGGGAGGGGATCGATGGCAAAATGCTCTTCCATCTGGAGAGGAAGGAGACAACGCATTAGCACTTGGGAAGCAATATGCAACACCATACGGTGCTCAGCCAGATAATAAAGCTGGGCTGGAAACCAGGCCCACCTCGCTGCCCAGCACTGGGCAACAAAGGTTGTGGCTCTGATCTGCAAAGCCTGTTCTTTCCAAACACTAGGTTTGTAGTAAGGATTGTTTTCTGAAATTGTTGAGTGGCTATAAACAAGCATACACCAAGGCAGCGGGTGAAAGTCCCCAGGCCGCCTCCTAGGTCCCGTGGTGCGGACGCCCCCAGCCTGAAGCTCCCCTTTCCCTCTGCAGCCCCTGCCTGACGAACACCATTTCCCAGACCCGGCCTGCAGGTACGCGTGGGGAACAGAGCACCCGGCTCTCCTCTGTGTACGCACATCTTTAGGGTTTCCTAGTCACGGTCTGCCGGAAGACGAAAATGCCGGTGTCCCCCACATTGAGCCCCTCAGCCCTGCAAGCCCAAATGTGCCCCTCTGATGAGCCGCCCATTGGAGGCATGGAAACAGCAGGTGGGAGGAGATCGAGGGCACCTTGGTGCTGGCTCCTCACAGCCTAGAGGAGATTCCCAGGGGGACTCGGATGTGCACACGGCTCCTGCTGCCCGGGAAGGGGCTGCGTGTCCTGGGACCGTGAGCAAGGCTGGGGGAGGACACAGCCCCGGGCCAGGCCCACCACTCCTCAGCTCCACTCTGGCCTCCAGAACCCTGAGAAATGAACTTCCCATATGGTATTTGTTAGACAGCTGTCCACCCAGACTAAGAGAACATGCAACTGTGTATTGTTATGATATTTAAAAAAATTCTTAAGCATGAATTAAATTTTATACCCATCATAGAGAATATTTTAGTTCATTTGGGGTAAATAACACTTAATTGTTGGAAATCTTTGGTTTCTCAAAAAATATGTTTTATCTTATACAACAGTTCACATTTTTGCCAAAGTTATAATGGTCAGAAGTCAGTGGTAGAGGTTCGCTCATGAACTGGTATTCACACAGTGCTGGCTTTTTCTAAACAAATTGTGACTACAGGAAAGACACCTAGAGAGCACAAGGAATCAACGTGACTCAAACACTGAAGGGGAAAGAAGGCAGTTTTGTTGTTTTGTTTTGGAGACAGGGTTACCTGTCTTTAGGTTTCTAGGAACGCGGGTGCCGATCCCCACAGGGGCTACAGCAGCTCACATCCCCCAGTCGGGAGCCCTCCGTGACTGCTCTGGGCCCTGATACAGCCATCTGCATCTCAGATTTTAAAGGTAAATGTTTAACTGTGTACAGGAAACATCAGGAATGAGCATTTGAACATTTCACCTACAGCCTTACAGGGTTATACATTAAAATGGACCAATTTTTCAAGATGCCTTTTACTTGGGGAAACAAATTTTCCTTTGTACAGAGAAGGGCAGGCCCGGGAGCTGATAACAGGAGGGAACAGGCGGCAGCGGATGGAAGTGGCCTCTCGGGCGCCTGAGCGACGGCGGCCGTCACTGTGCAGCCGGGCAGAGAGGAGCTGCGGGCTCTCGGACCCCGCGCACGGGGCCGGGGAACCTGTGGTGAGGAGGAGGCCGGTGTGGCCACAGACCCGAAGCCGAGCAGCCGGGTTAGAAGACAGTGATTCTAGGAAGGGAGACACTCACGTCAATACGTGTTGAAATAAGCTACAGGAAGCTAGATTGCTCTATGTGAGAAGGGGTAAAACACTCAAAATGCTACAGGCTGCTAAATGTGAATGTTTAATCGAATGTATTAAGTAAATATTACCAATATACATTTGATCATTTCATCGATAGCCTTGTAAGTTCCTGTCTTTAAGGGACCAATATTTCAGACTGCCTTTGATTTGAATGAATAGAAACTTTATTTTCAAAGGAGAGAGCCTCGTGTGCAGGGAGTTGTGAATGTTCCCAGCGCTCTGCCCTGATCCGCTCCTCTCCCAAGCGAGTGCTGTGTGTCTGCCGTGCGCTGGGGCTCAGAGGGGCAGGGGCGACATGGCCTGCCGCCCTTTATCCCCAGCCAGGCACGGTGTCCGCCCGGGGCCTCCTGCAGGGACCGTGGCCCCAGGAGGCAGCATCACACCCGGCAGAGGGCAGAGGGTCGCGGGGGCAGGGACGCCTCGGCCAGCGCCTCTCTGGAACGCACCCTCACAGTAACCCTCCTTTCATTTGCCTGAAAATTAATTCAGGGTGCAAATACACAAATAACCAAATTCCCTATGATGAATGTTATTCTTATGTATATCTAAAATGCACCAATAAAATACATGTTTTGCTTTAAAAAAAAATAACCAAACATTTTAAAATGTCCCTAGTGAGAGATTTCTATCAGTGACTGCTTAGCTATAATTCTGTAAAAGGTAAAGTGCAGTGTGCTGTAACAGCCAGGGCAAACCCATTAAAACAGAATGCCCGGCTAGGCAGTACACCGATGGGCCCAGGAGCCCGGGGCTCCGTTCTGGGGGAGCCCGCGCTGCCACCCATGACCTCGCCTTTGGACACGCGACCAAGCAGGAAGCACGCTGTCCTGGACACAACTGTCTGCCTTCCTTTCTTCAGTGCCTCTTCATGTGCTAAAAATGTCCAAGATGTCCATGCCGTAAATCAGTGCATTCGATGTGTCTCCAAATGCTAGTTATTGACCCTCGCTTAATATACAGAAAAGCTGGTTCACAGGCCCAAAGGTCCTGCCATCTCGTCACTGTCAGAGGAGTCTCTCGGTTCTACTTCCCTGGTCCGCACGTGCTCTGCTTTCCAGACGTTGTCTTCGTCCCTCGCAGACGCCACCACTCTGCTTTAGCTGCCCAGAGTTTGCGTCCCAGTTTGCGTGGCTATTTCTCAAGGGCAAGTGTGGCCCTTGGATGTTCACAGTTGCTGGCGAGATCCTTATCTTGAGACCTCCGTTTCTGTTTGGTTCCAGCACTTCGGGGATGGAAGGCGGTGTCCAGCCCAGCTCAGGAACATCTGCAGCTCCCGGTTGCGCCCTGTTTGTGCAGTGACCCTACTTAGCCCAGGACAAGTGGGAAACCTGTGGGCACCTCCCGAGCCTTGGCATCAGGTTGCACCGGGCTCCCTTTCCATGAGGAGGTTGGACGGGGTGCTCCTCACACTCGCTGGCTCTTAGGATGAGGACGCAGATACTCGTCAGGAAAGCACTGCAAACAGAAGAGACCTGCAGCAACAATGAAGACAATGGATGTGGCCTTTGCTTTCGCCTTTCAGATTGTTTTCTTTATAACGTGCCCGCCTGTGGGCAGTGGGTGCCAGGCCCTGTGTAGCAGCTGGTAGCTCCAGGGTTCCACATGAAGACCAGGGCTCAGGTCTGTAGTCCCTTTAAGCATATCATCCGCCAGGTCAGACACACCACACATGCACAAACACAGGAAATCTGCACTTACTCCTTGATCATAGTAACCTTCCTGAATAATAAAGTACCACTTCTGAATATGGCATGTTTTTAATTAATAATAGTCTGTTTGGTGTAGCAAGTTTTTTTGTTAGCTTTTGATCTGGTTTGGTTTTTTGGTTGGGGTGGTACTGGTGAGAGGAGAAAGTGCATTATTTGAAGAAAAACTGCAAAAAAATTTTATGACTAATATATCTAATTTTTAAGTATATTTTTGGTACTGGTGGGATATGGGTTGAGGAAATTTTAGATATTCTTGAGTCTAAGAAACTTATGAGACTGCTATAATTAGTATTACGTTAATTCATTTGCAACATAAATCCATCCAGGAGAGCAAAGCTGAGGTTTGGTATAGGTGCCCACTTACTGGTATTAATTTTCAAGGGTTTTATAAATGATTATCACACTATTAACTCATACTTGTGACTTTTCATTTTAATGCTGGGACTTTTATATGTGACTCCTAAAAAGTCTTTAAATTGCCAAATTTGGTCAATAATTTCCTGTTTCAGTGGCCTTAGCAACTAGCTATCATTTTATAATTCTAGTTGTCCTGTTTTATTGAAACTGCAGTAATTCATTTAAATTTCAAGATTTCCAATCTTTAAGTCACAAGAAAGAAATCTTGGCATGACCACTGTGCACATGTCTGTCCTGAAGTGTTTTCTCCTCACCTGAGATACAATGTCCTATAAATTCTCTTTGATTTATAGTGTGATGCCAAATTGAATCTTCTCAGGATCTTATTAGGCTGACCAGCATGAAACTGCAAAGCTTTGCCATTTTAACTGGTAAAATCCACAGTCCCATAAGGGTCGCCGTGACAGATATCACCCTTTGTTGCTAATTTCAACACTCAGACGATTTCGGACTGTATATTTTTAAACTAACTTTTTGAAGTACAGTTCTGCTATTTAACTTCCTATTATAGTCAGTTCCCCTGTGGAATTATATGTAAAAGTGCTTGTGTTAGACATTAAGCATCTGTGGGTGCACGGTGGACTGACTGTGTAGTTTGTTGCACAGAGAAAACACCAGCGGCGATTCCAGCATTAGCATGGTGTCAGGTCCAGCAGCAGCACGACAGCCACATCGCAAATCCATGCCAGATGTTCTCTGTCTGGAGCATCATCCGCCAGCGCTCTGCAGGTGGAGTGAATCTGACATCCAGAGAGGAAGGGAGGGTCGCTGGGACACAGGGAGGACATGCACATCGAGCTTTGTCACGGGGAACTCCTAGGAGCGAGGCCTCTGCACCTCGACAGGGCCTAGCGCCATCTTACTCTGCAGACTTGAGAAGCTGTAAGTTGTTTCCCATCTTCTCGGCGAGGTTCTTCCAAACTTTTTCTAGGCTTGACATCTTGCGTAGGAGTAATGCCTTTCCTGTAACTCCAAGGGGAACTTCAGGGATGCTAATTTTAACTAATGCTTTCAACCTGACACATGCTGAATTAAGTCTACATCAACTTTACCCTAGCAACACTGGAATTCGGACTTGGAAAACCGTTGTTTTGCAAATATATAACCATAGAGTCTGCAAGTCAGAGCTCAGAAGTATCTTAGAAAGCATCTTTCAGGGGCATGCTCCACAGATAGGGCTGACAGGGAGGAAGCCTGCCTGAGCTGGCTTTCACCCTGACAGAGTGTGGAGAGGGCCCCTGGGCTACCTGAGGTGGATCAACTTCCAGTTTTCTACCTTGCTTAAGCAAAGAATCTCTGGGACCTTGAAAGTTAAATTCCTTTGGACCTATATACTAGAAACATATGTTTTACTGCAACACTGTGGGTTATATACTCAACATCACAGTATGTGGCTAAAGTTAGAGAAGCTGTTTCTTCCAGCTTTTACAGGGTATGATCCTGAAACACAAGGTCCAAGGTAAATACAAGGTTATATAGTGTAACAATTATGAGTGTGTATATTTTGTAAAAGTTGTAGTTTCTATATCTTGCAAAGGAAATATTTTCATAACTTGCTTTTTTAAGTAGTAATAAAGTCATGTGAAAGAAAAAAAACATAATGCTCTCATGCCACGTTGTGAACAGCTGGCATCTCAAATGTAAGATGGTTTTCCAGTGGTCACTGTTTTCATATCTTATGGAACACAGAACGCTGATGACCAAGATATAACTGCTATTTTTTCATTAATTTGCCTTGATTTTCCCTGACAAATACATTCCATGTGAAATACATGTCAGGAAGCCAAGGCCGAGTTCGAGATGAGCAGCCTGCCCCACACAGCAACACCTGCGACTCCAAACACCCCTGAGGACCACAGACTTCCTCCACTCCAGGACAAAATTTCCCACCCCTCCCCTCCCCTATCCAAAGCCCCTGTAAAGTTTCCCCTCGCCCAGGAGCCCAGGGTCAGCGGCTTTGTCACCCTTGACTAGCCAGCACCCAGGCTGAAAATAAAACCTCTCTTGTTGTTTCATGTCTGCCTTCTCTGGCCATGCCTCAGTATACCCTAAAAATACACAGCTGTGCTTCCAGAGAGACTCTAAAGGGAAAGTGGCAATGTTAAAAGAGCTTGTCCTTGAAATGAGGAATTAGGGGAAGAGCACCACTGAGAAACCAATGCAAAGACCTCGACACCAGCAAGGCTGCCGCAGCTTCCTGATCCCATGCAATGCTGTGTATCAAAGATTCCTGCTGACAGCTGCACACTGTGGGGACCTTGTGAACAAGGACTAATTGTGAGAAGACCATTAAATTGTGCTTTTATTTTGTTTTTGAAAGTTAGCGGCAGGTTAGGCAGGGAGAGCAAAGGGACACTGTGACGCCTTACCATGTACTGCTGCATCTCAGGGGAGTACATGCTCCGCAGGGACCTTGCCTCCGGGGACTCGTCGCCATGGGAATGGTCATCAGGCAACCACTGCGCACCCAAGTGCAGCTCCTGCCCGGCCAGTGCAGGCGGGGCCTCCCGGGCGGGCAAGGTGGGCTGCAGCCTCAGGGCCTGAAAGTGGTCGGGGTACAGCTGGTACTCCTCATACTCCTCGTCCACCAGCATCTCCCGCTCCTTGCCCATGTCCTGCAGCACAGGGCTCAGAAACTCCTGCATCTCCCAGACCTCCGGGCTGGTGTCGATCTCTTTTTGTTGGGACCGGAACGTCTGCCCTAAATCCAGAAATGGCTCGTCCACAAGTTCTTCTTTAAAATACGGTTCATCTCGGAATCCCTGCAGGGGAAATTTGCAGCCCAGCTAAGTCTGTTAGCACTCATAGCGTCCTCGGCTGGAAACTGGATGCACTGGAGTCACCTTTCCCACAGAACCCAAAGCCCAGAGAGGGCAGAACAGCAGGGAGGCAGGAATCTGCCTGGGGCAAGGTGAGCAACCGCCTTAAAGGCTCACTGCCATTAACCCCCAGAAAGGACTTCGCTAAATATTTAACCCATCACCTGACAGAAAAAGCAGTGAATAAGCTCAGATTCACCTCATACTAGTACTTCAGGAAGCAAGGACTTAGAAGGTCAAGTTGTCAACCTTAAGTAACTTGAAAGGAATTACAGTTATTTAAAAGTGCGAAAACCACGCTCTATATGCTAAAGGTATGCACAGTATATCTCAACTATTTTGAGTAGGATTCTTTTACATATATAATAGAAATATGTGTTTTCACCTGTGTTGATAACACCATAAAAAGAAATGAGTATGGTAACATTTTAACTGACTTGTGCTCACTAATCAGAACGGCTGATACACACCACTGAGACAGTCACACAGTGCACAGCATGCTGAGCTCCTGGCCAACGCCAAGAGCATGAGGATTTGTGAGCCACGGGGTGTGGTGAGGCCCAATTCCTTCTAAGAGCTCAGTGATGTCGCCAACGTCAAACCCTACCATGAAGCATTCCCGATATAAATTCCCAGGATAAATCTACTCTTTACCCCAGTTTTCTATTGCAGCTAAACACCGTTGTAAAGATTTTCAATTAATACAGCATATCAAATCCTGCAACCTGGTTACTTCTTTAAAAAATGTAGTCAGAGAGCCAGGGATTTAGCTCAGTGGTTTCTCCGCCTGCTGCGCAAGTGCAAGGACCTGAGTTCGATCCCCGGTACCAAAAACACCCCCACTAACAACGACAACAACAAAAATAAAAAATGTTAGAGGACACAGGTGAACATATCACATGGTTATAAAGTTTCACAAAAAATTCTACAAAAATGTAACTGACATTCTAGGGATGCCTATCAGCCTGAGACACCACCAGGAGCACCAGCGGTTATCAGGTGACACAGAGCCGTCCCTGACTGCAAAGGACAAAAGCACAGTTCACTTAAGAGTAAAAAAGACAAAGCTCCAAAATATACTTTCTATAATGACAGCATAAAGCACAGTTGACTACGAAACTCTTCTTTGGAAAGAGTGTGAAATTTTGTTGTGTGGCTCCATTTTCCATAGCATTTTAAATGCAGTCTATTTTCAGCAATATGTTCAACTCCACCAAATTCCAGGCCCGTGTGAGCGACACAGATTAGGTGTGGGCCTCTGCAAATGCCCCACACCAGCCTGGGGGAGACAAGCAAAGGCTCCACTTAACAAAATGATAAAAGGCGCCAAGGGGGTAATTTAACTTGTGTCCGCCTAGCAAGGGAGTGGCATCGAGCTCTGGTTCTCTTTATGGAAACTTTCGCTCACAGCAAATCGCTCTTTAGCTCACAGGGCAATAAATCCGGGAAATACCTTGGGCGCTTCGAGTATCAGAGGTGGCTCCGTATCTCGAACTGCTCCTGAAAGTTCAGCCTCCTCTTCACTGTTGCTTGATTGCAAATTGTAACAACTTTCTTCTTTCTCATCTTCCTGAAAGTATAAACCACTTTTATGATCAAGGGGATCCATTAGTTTCAAGCTCTTTGGATTAATACTCGTCTTGTGCAAGCACACAGCAAGATTTATGGAAACTGTCTTGCTAGAGCAGGCCTCTCACCACCGAAGGAAGGTTGCACCAGGTTGGAGCTCAGCGCTTGGAGCGCATCTCCCAGCCCAGGCCTCCGTTCCTCAGACACAGTCGGCACCCTACGTAGTGTGGCGACACACATTCTGAGAAGGAGGCGTTCCGAGTACACAACTTACTGATGAGTAGAGGGTGCGCAGCAATTTTTTGTTTTGTTTTCAGAAGTCAGGAGAGATTTTATTGGAAATAAGAAGAAAAAAAGGATTCTGGTTTCTGTTTTTTTGAGACAGGGTCTCACTATGTAGTGCAGCCGGGCCTTGAATTCACTATGTAGCTCTAGCTGGCCTAGACCTTGTGGTGATCCTCCTGCCTCAGCCTCCTGAGTGCTGGGATCACAGGTATGCACCACCACGCCTAGTTTAGGGCACAGTAATTTGCCCAGTGTCAGGTGACCAGCTGGTTCCGGGTCCAGAACCTGAGCACACTGTTTGCTCTGGGCCTGTGTCCTTATGACCAGATGCTGCGGCCCCATCCTGCAACGGGCAGGGTGGGTGCTGGGGACTCAGTACCCGCCCGAGAACATGGGGCCTTGTGAGCCACAGGACCAAGCCAAACCTCCACTGTCTGGCTGCAGTTCTGCCACCTGTTCTGCCCCTGGCCCTGAAGCCTTGATGACATTTTCAGTAGTTCCTTCATTCCTTCGACTCGGTATGTGTGAAACAGGTGCTATACAGGCGTGTGTGCCACGCCTTACTAGCGATAGCGCGTCCTGACGCTGCTGGACACTCACAGGCTTTCTGCCCCACCACCTGTGCGTCCACCCCTCGACCACCCGGGCTGGGACGGAGCCCAGGGCTGTGCACACGCGGCCTGTGATCCCCGCCCGCCCCCATGCCTCCCCCTCCCACCCGCAGCTCCACAGGGGCTCAGCGAGCGCTGGTTAGAGGTATGCGGCCACTAGCTGGGTCACCCAGAGGGACAGGGACCGACCTCAGAGAGGTCCTGTGCCTGCCTCCTTGAATCACTATGAAGGAAAGACAGAGGAAGAGAGGAGGGGAAGGTAGAAGGAAAGAAAGAAGGGGAGAAAGAAAGAGAGAGAAAAGAAAAAAAAGAAAAGAGGAAGAAAGAAGAAAGGAGAGAGAGAAAGAGAGGGAGAGAGAGGGAGTGCGCGTGCAATGGTGAGGGAGGGAGAGGAGGAAAAGGAAAGGAAGAGACCCTGACACGGCCCTGGGCCTCCAGAGCTGGAAGCTGAGTCCCGCAAGCCCCACCCACAGGCCCTGGCTGGCTTCCACAGGCCGAGCCATGCTCTGACACTCGGTCGGGTCGGAGGTCTCTGCAGAAATGGCTCGGGAACCCGGGCCTGCCCTGGAAGTCCCGTTCTGTTTTTGTGCCCAGCCTCTGACTGCCTGGAACTGCTGACAGGTGAGGGCCACAGCCTGCTGCTGAGGCCCTGGGCCATAATGAGGCTGAGGTTTTCCCACGCAGCCCAGTAACCTCACAGGCACCCAGCAGTGGAAGCCTAGACAGAACCACCTGGCATACCACGGAGGTGGGGTCCGCAGAGGCAGGAGGGTTCCCGTCCTGAATGTACCAGACCCGGACACCACAGGGCAGTACAGCTTCAGCATGGCAGGGTGTCTCTCTATGAGAAACCAACTTGCAAATAAAGAGCAGAATGAAAGGCAGCAAGGAAAGGGGAGCGGGACCAAGAGGTGGGGGGGGGGGGGTTGGAAAGCAGGAGGAGCTGTGCCCTCACTGAGTCCCACGGGCAGGGTGATCACTGCAGTGCAAGCATGGACGCCTAGAACTAAAAGCTAAGAAGCGCCATGTGTGTCACGCATCGGTGTTGCATGGGAACAGGCCCGGCCAGCGGGCGGGCACAGGGCATGAGGCATCACTTGGCCCGTTACCACACCTCACAAGGATCTGGACGCTAAGAAAGACCTTGGCATCTTTGAGCCGTGTCCAGTCTTAGCAGAGAACGAAAGGAAAGCTCTGGGTCCTGTGGTTCACAGTGCGCCTCTCGGCGGACTCGCTCAAGCAGCGTTTCTCCAGCTGTGCCATTCTGCATGGAGATTGTGAAGGGACCGCGGAGGGCCACTCAGCAGCAGCCCGGGGCCACGCCACCGCCACGGCCACTGGTTGACTGTGGATCTTTAGGTCTGAAATCCCGGGCAAGCTCTGGGCACAGCGGAGACAGAGTCCGGGCCGCCCGAAACCCTGCCCAGCAATCCACCACCATGATCTGCTGTCCTCATGCTGGACAGGGCAGCACACGAAGGAGGAACTGCGGCCAAGGCCCAGGGCAGGAGGTGCCCGGCCGGGTTCCTGCCCAGCTCTGCCCCTCCGGCTACCCGGCCTCAGAGGAGCCTGTGGGCCCAGGGCCTGAGTATGTGACAAAAGCCACGGGAGGAAGCTGCTTACCACTGCCGGAGGGCAGCCTCAGGTAACACGCGCCCTGGCGGAGGTGCATATGAGCCGTCCCGAGGACTTTAAAAGCGGCAGCAAATTCCCATCCGGTGTCTGTTTACGGAGGACCCCAGCAGCACTGTAACTGTCCGTGACCCTCCAGCCATAAACGGTGACCTGAACCAGCATGTGAGGGCCAGACAACCCCAGGGTGGCCTGACGCCGGGGCTCCGGACTCTAGGGTGACCGGGTGCGGACGGGGTCAGCCAGTGGCTCTACAACACGCTGCGCACCTGCGCCGACTGCAACCTTAATCCCTGGGCCCCTCCGGGGCAGACATCATTCTTCTGATGCTGAAGGTCAAGGGCATTAAGAAACTTGCCCAAGGTCACACACATCTGTGACAAAGCCCGGCCCTTCGCCACCGCACGGTCATCACTGCCCGTGTTAACCGAACCCGACACTCACCACCAGTGGCGCACAGATGCCCAGCTGCACGGTGCCCGGGCGCACGGCCTTCAGCACCTCCACGGCGTCTGCGAGGGTGGCATTGTACAGGCTGTGCTCGTTCACGGAGACCAGGCGGTCCCCGGGTAACAGCGCTCCACTGCGCTCCGCGACGCCGTCCGAGACCAGGGAGCGGATCACGATCACAGACCGCGTGGGGTCTAGCGGGTCCTGTGAAGCAAGTGAGGGAGGCAGGTTGGTTCCCCAGAGCAGGTACACAGGGAGCCTAGCGTGGCCGTGCACCCACGCGTGCAGCATCCTGGTGACAGTCTTGGGAAGAGGCCAGAGCGAGTCAAGCTCAGTCCTTCACACAGCACCCGTGTGTGCTCAACGTGAACCAGCTCACCGCTTAAACGTTTGGTGCCTGACATTCTGTGGGGCCAGAAGAGCCCTGGGGACAGCAGGGAGGAGTCTGAGGTGCCCTGGCCCTGTCGCATGCAGGCTGGGACAAGGCCACCATGATTCCCTGGGCCGCAGTGGCCCTGAGCTAGTGGTGAACAAATGGCACGTATGTCACAGCGGGCACAGAGCCCAGCAGCCAGCAGGGGTATTCAGCCTGAACTGCAGTGCTGGCATCCTTGGTACAGGAGTGGACTTTGGGTTGCAGTTTGGACACTCGACTCTAAAAGGCTCGCCATCGCTGCTCTAAGAGAAGCGGGCTAGGGAAACTACGGGCCCGGGTGCAGGACCCCCCAAGGCAACAGCCTGACACTCAGCAGACACGGCAGCAAACCCGCCACAGCCTTGAAAAGGCACACTCAGGCCTGGAACGTAACTCAGGGGTAGAGAACTCCCCTGTGTGTGACCTGGTAACACACACACACACACGCACGCACGCACGCGCGGGCAGAGCATGTCCTAAAATGACATACCCGAAATGATGACTTGGTGTCTCCAATGCAGAGCTATTCTAATAAACACGAATTTAGCAACAAAGCCAGAGTGCAAATCAATCTCTTTCATGTACTGGGAAGGCCTTACGTTTTTTCATTAAATAATAAAGATGACACTGACGTCTACATTGGTTAATGACACCCAGCAGGCAGCTGGGTGCCGCTCAGCGCTCGCCTGGTGTGCAGGAGGCCCTGGGTTCAACCCCTAGCTGCACCACCACTAAAAACAAGTGACAATTCATGACCCCATCTCCTACGTTTCGCTCGGCCAGGCCTGACGACCATCTCTGACCTAAGCCTGGCAACGATTCCAAGACACAGACAGACCCGAGGTCTGAGTTCCACAGCTGGGGAAACCAAGTCTCAGGAAGCGAACTCAGGGGAGTGGCTGGGAGCAGGCAGCTCGCTGGCCCTGTGGTCCTCACTTCCACATCACGATGACAGTGCCACCAGGAAGAGGTGCAAGGGCCGCGGACAGAGCGTGCAAGGACCCCGTGACCGACCGGCTCTGCAAGGGACGACCCCCAGGGCCTAGAGCGCTCAGAGCTACGGTCTGCGGGGCTCAGGCTCTGGGGAAGCAGCCGGCGGCTCCCTGAAGTCCCCGTGCGCTTGCCAAACCTCTGTGTGCCGCACACCAGGGCTCACTCCGGAGCACCGCGGGATTGCGAGCCTTTGAGTCCACCGCGCCGTGCAGCTAGCTCCTTGAAAAGGCCTGCAGACGGGACTCCATTTCCGCCCTTGCTTCCCACTCCAGGTAAGGAGACCCTCGGGAGTTTGCACGAATGCGCTAACGTTTGTCGCTGCATGTTCACGAGGAGAGTTAGAAGTAGAAACAGCCCAGGGGACCCACTAAGGAACCCGGGCCTCCACTGCAGTCATGCCCAAGCTTCCACGCAGAGGGAGCCTTGAGGATGACAGCAGAGGGGCCACGGAGGAGCTGTCTGCCCTGTCAGCAGCCACGCGAGTCAAACGCCCCTCCTGACAGGCGAGGCCGCTTCACCCTGAGTGCACACACTAATAATACACTACTGAGGATCAGGGCCTCACTCGGGACCTCGGGCCTCACAGAGGCTGCTTTATGGGGAAGGAAGTGGCGGACGAGCTCCTCCCCAGGGAGCAGGGAGGGAGGCAGGCGCACGTGGGTGACAGGGACTCTGAGAGCGGCTGCAGCAGACCCCAGAGAAAGTCGGTGATGGCGCCACGCTGGCTGCGAGCTTCGCACGGCTCTGGATGGGAAGCACCGCACAAGCCCACGCAGTGAATGTATACGTCCTCAGAACACAGCCCGCTGGACAGTAACCGGAAAGACAGTGACTCTGACTAGCAGGATGCTCGGGAAGCAATGGGAATAGAGCTCTACTCTAGGCAGAGAACAGCTCTGGGAGCCGAGTGTGGTGGTGCACACCTGTCATCCCAGCACTTGGGAGGCTGAGGCAGAAGGGCACCGTGAGTTTCAGACCAGCCTGAACTACATAGAGAGACCCTGTCTCAAAAAACAAATAAACAAACAAATAAATAAATACAATTTTTAAAATAAACTGTCTAATTTTTTCCTTTTGGTAAGGAACGTTGCAAGGAACACTGCTCAGAACCAAGATGCTGCTTTAGACTAAGCAGATGAAGCAGCCGACAGAGGGCACTAGAGACCAATAGCAGAACCTAGGCAGTCTGCAGGCAGTCTCTTCTGGGGCTGCTTCTCCTTGCAAAACCCAACTGCAGGTGCCTGGGCAGCTCCGAGAAAGTTTGCCAGGGGTGCCAGGAGAGACAACTCAGAGGGACGGCGAGGGAGGCAGTGCGCTCAACAGCTGGCACCGCATCGGGGGAGTTGTCACACACACTGTCACACACACACACACACACAGATGCACACATCTCTGGATGCAACAGGACCTGCAGAAGCAGGGAGCATGGCTCACATGAATCAGAACCTCCCTGTCGAGCAGTATCAGGAAGCAGGAGTTCAAAGATCAAAGGTAAACACGGGAGGGACAGAGAAGACGGACACCCCAGTTTGCAGGGATGGGTGTGGGCTGGAATTCAGGGGCTGAGTTCTGAGTCCCAACCTGGGCCCCACTGGGCTGCACACAGTTTCACCATTGTCTTCATTTCTCTGACTCAGTTTCCTCAAAAGTAAAATGAAAAAGGTAGATGCATGAGTCATGATTCCCTTCCCCAGCGGTAAAATCCTATTGCTGTATCTCCAGGTGTATTTGTCCTTAATTTCTACCAAACGATCACAAAACCACTATAAAAAGAAGTAGGGAGAAATGGAAGTTAATTCGAAACATGGCACTAACCATGAAAAAAATGTGTGTGATGCTCCCAAACACAGCGAGAGCTTAGCTGGCGATGTCTTCCAGGAACTCGGAGACCACTAACGTCAGGTGTGGCCCACCTCAAAACAAAAGAAAGCAGCAAAATATACACGAGACCACATACCCCCCTTTTAAGAAGATGAATCTCGAGACATCTTTCCTCCCCTTGCCATCTTAAGATACGAAAGTGATTCCAGAGGCCCACTGATTCAGCAGCAGTGGCCGGGATTGTCTGGTTTAGACTGAGAGGCGGGGCCTGCCTACCTGCTAAGGGCTCCTTGGCTCTGACCAACAATCAGAGCGCTCACTCTCAGGAAAGAGGGAACAGAATCCACAGCCAGGGCAAGGCGGGCACTAAGCGATGCCATGAACGGTGAGTGGGCGTAACTATCCCGTCACAGCCCAGCTTCACAGACGTCAGGCCCACGGCCCCATGGGCCCACGGCAGGCACTCAGCTCTCCACACCCATGAGCTGCCAATGCTGCCCCCATGCTGGGCCTTCCGGAGACGCTTTCCACACAGTGTGGGGAGCCCAGCAGCCGGAGCCACTCAGCAGGGACAGGAGACACAGTGGGGAGTGACCCCGGGGGGAGAACCAGCGGGTGGAGGTGGGCTGTGTTCAGAGGTCAGCCTGAAGCGGCACAACGACTGGAATGCTGAGCAGGGGCCTGGGGAATCGGCCTGGGGCCGCTGCCTCCGCTGCCCTCTCCTCCCGGCTGCAGCTGCCCCGGATGTTGCTTGCTCATCTCCTGACCGCTTGGTGGCTTGCTGTGGACCAGGACAAGGAGAACGGGACAAACCGAACCGGAGCACAGGCTTCCACGTGGAAGCCTCACTGTCCGGCTGAGATGCAGGTGGTGCCAGGCGGACAGTGAGAGCCTCAGGACCTGGGACGTGACCACAAACAACGTCCCGAACTATGCAGGCATTACGGTATGTGCAACCACAGCGTTTTTAAGTGTAGCCATTTGTGAATCTGTGAATAAGAAATTTCTCAACACATTTCGGGAGAAAACTTACATTACCTGAAGGTCATTATGCTGTAGTATAAGTACAGACATGCACAACTTTTTCTTTCTTGGTGGTGCTGGGCATGGAATACAGGGCCTTTGCACGGAGCGAGATCGCCAGACCTTTTTTGATTTTGAGACAGGGTCTTGCTAAGTTGCTGAATTGCCAAGGCTGGACTCAACTCACAATCCTCCTCTTTCAGCTTCTCAGACTGCTGAGATTACAGGTATGAAAAACCACATCTCGCTTCAAAGCTTTTCCAATATTAATTTTGAAGCTGGGCACGGGGGTGCACACCCACAGTCTCAGCACCTTGGGAGGCCGAGGCAGGAGAATCGTGAATTCAAAGCCATCCTGGGCTACAAAGTGAGTTCTGGGCCGGCTTGGGCGACCTAGTGAGACTCCGTCTCAGAACAGTAACAACAACCCAAATAATTTCGGGATGGGATTTTCCAAGCAAATCACTCTCAAATACCAACAGTGGCAGAGCGACACGGGTGACGTTGTTTAATCTGTCTCTTCCCGCGTGTGGCAGCAACAGTAAGCAGCGCGGTGCACAGAGCTGTCGCTCCCAGTCTGCTGCACCCTCAGCTCAGCAGAGCCCTGGGTCAGGTGGGCCAGCACCCTCCCTGCTGAGCCCCTGGGCACAGGATAGGGGCCCTGTGGTCCCGGCGGACGGAGCGGGGCCGCGCCAGGCAGGCTGGGCGGCTGTCTCAGACCAGTAGGGAGCCGCACCCCTGTCGCGCTTTAGACAGCCACGAGGGCTCAGGGGAGTCTGTGAAGATGGGACCTTCACCCTTCGGGCTTGGCCCTGGCCCAGCTCACCGTGCTGCTGGGGTCTCCAGCAGGACTCCGAGTTCACAGGGATGTCAGTTTCCTCACGGGCCGGGCCCCAGGTGGGGGAAAGATCAAGTCAGTCCATGTACAGTAAATACCAGCCAGGCCAGGCGT